CCACCACCATTATCTCGCTCGCGATCTCGACGGTGCACGTTGTACCCGGCGCAATTCAACAAAGTTGAATTGCTGTGCAACTTCGTCTCTTGGACCGCAGCTATTAATATACCATGCCGACACATAAAGGCGGTTATCTCCTCAATCTTGCTCTGTAGCCCGTTACAGTTGAATTGAAGGAGCTTCATGTGGTTCGGGAGACGTGTCGTGATGTGGGGTGTAAGTGAGGTGTATGTTCTTGCCGCCGTTGGCTGTGTGTGCTGCTGAGGTGATTGCCGCCCTGTGGTGGTGGTGGGGGGCGTCGCAATTGAAGTCAGCGACCGAGCAGCGCAACACGGGCCCTCGAAGTTCCCCGTCCAATCTCGCGTGGTACGCAGACCTGAACATGCCCTAAAGTGGCACCAGCCAAGGCAGGTGTTGCACTTGACTGATGTCACATTACGGAATATTCTGGTGGTACGGTCTGTGGTGTTATTATGTTGTTGTGTTGTTCTTTTTAACAAATGTATTTTTGCGTAGAATTCCTTTCTACGTAAGCGGCCTTCGGCCGCACTTAGGGATTATAACCCTCAGGCAGTAGAATTCTCCTTGCTGTGTTGTCAAAGAATGGGGGCTGAACACCTTTTGCAGAGAACACCTTTCTGCGTAGGCGGCCTTCGGCCGCACTTAGGGATTATAACCCTCAGGCAGTAGAATTCTCCTTTCTGTGTTGCCAAAGAAGGGGGGCGGAACACCTTTTGCAGAGAACACCTTTCTGCGTAGGCGGCCTTCGGCCGCACTTAGGTATTATAACCCTCAGGCAGTAGAATTCTCCTTTCTGTGTTGCCAAAGAAGGGGGGCTGAACCCCTTTTGCAGAGAACACCTTTCTGCGTAGGCGGCCTTCGGCCGCACTTAGGGATTATAACCCTCAGGCAGTAGAATTCCCCTTTCTGTTTTGCGAAGAAAAGGAGCTGAACACCTTTTGCAGAGAACACCTTTGTATATTTTTAATGCTTACTGGGTTATATCCTATCTTCTTTTGTCTCTCATTCTTTTGCATATTTTGGAGTTTGACAGCTGAACTCCGCCATTTAATTTGCATATGCAACCAAAGTCAGACGCGTGATTTTGAAGGTGTTTTTATTTAATGAATTGTGATGAATTGGTTAATATTAAAGTCGTAAAGCAAGTTATAACAAATCAAGTAAAGTGTAAAGTGAAGGGGAATACAAAAATATATTGGTGAAGTGGCTAATTTAAGCAGAATAGGAGTGATAAATGTACGCTAATATCCGATATTTACAAAAAAGGGCATATTTCAAACCCAATTTGTAAATAAATTAGTAACCAAAATTTACAAAAGTGAGTGTTAAAATATTGCGTGGACCCTTGACTACAAGTGTGTGAAATTTTTTTTGGATCGGACCACCCATTTGGACGGAATAGCCCGAAATAGTTGTGAGCGGTGCTAAACCCCACCCGAATCAATACTTCGATAAATAATGAAAATGTTTACTAAAAAAATCGCGCGATTTTTAATTAAAAATTTTCGACTGCGGCGCTTTTTCAATAAAAATCAATACTTCGATAAATAATGAAAATTTTTTATAAAAAATCGCACTTTTCGCACTCCATTACGCTTACTTTTAATTACAGCTAAAATAACTGTAAGCCATAAAAGTAGCGCTGCCACGGTATGGCGAAATTTGCTATTATATTTTGGTTAGAATATCTTATTTAGGGAAAGTAAAAAAAGAAGAAGTGTATAGTGTAAACTGAGTATAATAGCGCAAATGAAATGTGAAATAAAGTGGCAATACCAGCGATTTGAGGTTATAACAATTTTGGAAGGCGCAAAGTTTTACTGTTTTATTAACGAAATATATAAAATAAGTGAATAAATGATTTGGTTTGCATAAAATAATAACCGGAGCTGTTTTAGTAGTGTTTTAAAAGTGGAAACTGGTGATTTAGTGCATTTTTGACGTGGTAATTGCGCATAGAAAACAACGAAATTTAACAAGGTTTTTGTTTATAACTTTTAAATGGTTAATAATATTAGCCCTCCCCCTAAAGATTGTTAATAGGGGGGCCGAAACGCGTCGTTTGGTACCCCTCCCGACTTTTCCGGACCTTTTTTAGGGGTTGTTACCCTACACTAGAGAATTACCCGATATACAATTTATAAGTGGCATTTTGTACAAAAATTTAGGGGTGGTAGTGAAGATTATTTAACAACAAATTGTGAGTGATGTAGAGAAAGCCTCCCCCAACATCCTTACCAAGTTTCATGGCGAAATTCCATATACTTTCGCTGGTTCCGTTTTGGAAAGCCAACCCAAAACTGTCATCATTTCTACACAAAATGTTGAAGATATCGGTCAACGACGACTTCCTCAAAACCCCCTAAGAATTTCATTAAACATATCGCTACACTTTGCCTGAATGTCCATTATTGGAAATCTCAACCTCGATGAGGCTTTCCTGAAGAGCCTTGTAGTTGGAGGAGTGAGCAAGTCATTTCATTCTTTGGCCTTCGCTGTCAAGTTGGGGAAAGTGGCAGGTGCAACAGCCAAAACTAAGACACTATTCGGAACATTTCTCATTGATATCGGTATTAGTATCACATTTGGTACATACCAACTTTAAACATATACACGAACAGTTTATCAAGTATTAATATGGTATATATTTTTTTTAGTAAACAATTTTTTAAGCACAAACATTTTGTAACGCCTTCGAAAAAAACAACAATTGCACAAAATCCGTGCACAAAGTCATGAACCAACTAACGTTCGTTCGTTGCACAAAGTATATGGGTATGTGGGAATGAAACGATACGAGTAAATAGGAATGAAACGATACGAGTAAATACAAGTACATACTCGATACTTTTCATTCGATACCAAGTAATTTTGGCATCGTCACTTTTGAACCAATTACTGAGTAGGTCTCGAAAACAAAGTACCCGTATCGAAACCCGATACCAAGTTAAATTTTGCTCCGAAATTTTTTAGGTATACGTTTATACCTAATATGAATCGCCCTGTGCTTTTTGGCAACTAAATTGCCAGCGAAAAGCGCGAGAAGGCGCCAAAGTCGACATAATGCAAAGTATATGCGATCCGATTGCTTCACCAAAGTCGAGTGTTTGCAACGTTTAGGCTATCTGCACACTTGTCGTCCAATCATAGTTGCGTTATCTTCTCGCCCTGAAATTTTGAGCCGAGCACATGCATTTCAAAGGAGATCTGCACAGTTGTCGTTATCGGCTAGTTATCGGCATATCGCAGAAGATGCAAAAACGGATAAGTACGGCATTGTCGTTTGCTAATCGTTGTGCACGCATTGTTTGTTTACATTTTATGTGGAAAACATAGTGAAAAAGTTAATATTTGCATTAAAATTGCACAAAAAAGTGGATAATTGCATTAAAATTCAATAAATGTGAATGTTTTAACTATAACATATGATGAAATTGTAAAAAGTCTCTGTGTGCATGCACAAAACACATTTCAGGAAAAGAAAATAACTGATATTATTGAAAAATTATGTCTTGAATTGTTGAAGCACAGTCTATATTTTAAAAATTGCAGGTTTTTGTAAATATTTCGCGAAAATATCAACCAGAACAACAGAAAATACCTGCTCCAAGTGAATTTTTAGACGCCAAATGAATTGAAATTTCACGACCGAGTGTGCGAAAGTGTAGTCGTCGTGTAATCGTTGCATCATGATTGTGACGATGAAGAAACTATGATTGGACGACCAATATGCAGAAAGCCTTACACGGCCAATTGGTCGCGTGGTAGTGTGAAGTGGATGAATATTCAGTACAGACGTTTCAACGAGATTTAAAAATCACTGAGTAACTCTATTATTCTTCGCTGAAAACGTTAGCGCTAGGGCAGGCACCTTGTCGTTGGTGCGGGGGCCTAGCCGAATCGCCGACCATTCCCTTTCTGGTCTGGGGCTTCGTTGACGCGCTCGCCGCTTCTGTGCTGCCCTTTTTCTAGACTGGGGCTGCCGGCGAACGGTGACCAAGGACAGGGAGTGTTGCAACACCGTGCCTATTGGACGGTTTGCAGCGAGGAGGGTATAAACCGGCTGTATTATAACGGCCCCTCTTCGACACCGCATCGAGGAGTAACGATGGCCTTGCCGCGACATGGGGCGCTGGCGTGGCGGACTGGATGCGATCCCCTTCAATTTCATTGACTGCTGAGCTCGCCTCGCCGAGCAGGCAGTCGTACGAACAAGATGAATACAACTAAACAAAAAACAACAAAAACAACAACAACAACACAAATATAAAAGCTAGCACGGAAACGGCGACAACGACAGCTACAACAGCAGCTACAGCTACACCTGCAACTATCGCTACAACAGTAGCAACAGCGTCAACAGCAACTACAGCAGCACCTGCTGCGAAAACAGAAACAACAGCACTAAAAACAGCAACGGCCACGCACGGCAGTAACATGCTGGGCTGAGGTAAGGGCGTTAGGCGCAGGGGCAGCTTCCTTAAGAGCCTAACCGAGGAAGACCAGTCCAGAGAAGAAGAGAAGCCAAGTACCAGCAGGGGCGGCGTGGATCGGCCCAGCATAGTTCGGAAGACCTCAAGGGAGCAGAAGAATTAATCCCAAAGAACAGCCATCGCTCTGCAAGCAGGCATCGGACTGAGGGTCGGGGCCGCTCCAGGAGTCGTGACCGCTCAGAGAGTAGATGCTGGTCCAGTGGCCGGCGTCGCACTTAGAGCAGGCGTTGCTCCAGCAGCAGGCACCGTTCTAGCAGTAGGCACCGCAGGTCACCCAGTCAGACCTTCTCAGCGTCGCATGAGTCAGTGTGGCAGGTACAGGAGATCATGAAACGCAGCCGTAGGTGCAGACCTCCTCCACTACTCCCCTCCGGTCAACCGGGTGCCCTTGACGACCACCATCGAGCTGGGCTGGGTGGGTCGGGAGTCAAGTGGTATTTTCGGTACCTTCAGTAGGAGATATCGTCGAATTAAGCCCGCACTATGGCGGAGGTACGGCAAGAGGTGGAGCGTGAGGAACGTGAGCGCGAAGAGCGCAAGCGCAGAGGCGACAGAGCTGCAACCGCTGGTAAGCAGCAGAGTAGCAACAGAGGTGAACTACCCGCGCTTGCTGAAAAGCAGAGAAGCGGGCAACAGCAACAGAGACCAGCGCCTGCTGCAAAGCAGAGAGGCGCGCAACAGCAACAAAGACCCCCGCCTGCTGAAAAGCAGAGAAGCGGGAAACATCAGCAGAGACTCGCGCCCGCCAAATGGCGGAGAAGCGGGGAAACCAAAGGTACCCTTACAGCAACTTCCACAGGTCCAGCAAAACGAACCAGCCTACAGGTTACACCACCGGAGCTACCGTCCCCCAAACGGCAGCGGGGGCCTACACCCCCTCAGACAGAGTCTGGGGCCTGTATTGGTCTGCGGGCCAAGGTCGGTCTCAGGAAGGAACCACTCAGCAGCCCAGCTATTCTGATGCTCTTAAAAGCATCCGGGTGGCTGTGCTGCCCTGTGATTACCCTGCAGCTGCCCTATGCCCTGAGGACCTAACCAGACTCCAGGATGCAATTATGGATGAAGTCCTGAAAGGGTGGAAGCACCCTCTGGTGTTCTGTGGAGTGTACTTCGGGTCAGGCATGCTGCTTGTGGACTGCAAGGATGAGCGGACTGCAGCCTGGCTCGCGGAAAAGGCGCCGGTTATTGAGGGGTGGGAGGGACCCGGGCTATGCACCAAAAGAGGAGAGGACATCGCCCCGGTGCATACCATCTCGGCGTTCCTCCCTAGATGCGCCGAGAAATCGGCTGAGTATGTGCTGGGGCTCATCCAGGCCCATAACGAGGGTGTCCACACGGCTGCGTGGAAGGTGGTGTCGTGCGGCGCCGAAAACAACGGTCTCAGGCTCAAACTGGGCATCGACGAGGAGTCGTGCGTCTGTATTAAGAGCGCCGGATTTAATGTTAACTTCCGGTACCGCTACGTCACAGTGAGGCCGTGGCGTCAAAAGCCGACAGGCACCAAGCAGTCAGAGTCGCAAGACATGTGTATTGACGCGGCAACTGACTCTACTACTGCCCAAGCGACCGAGTCGACCACGGCCCCACCAGACACCAGCTTACGGAACCGGCACAGATACCAGTCAACCAGCTAACAGAACCGGCCCAGGCACCAGCTCCTGTGAGTTACAGGCCAAGTGCCCCTGACTATTTGCGCACTACACAAGAGCTCCTAGCGGATATTGGCAGGCTCGAACTCGATAGAGGAAACGAGGGGGCGCGCAGCTCTTGGATATCGACGACGAGCCCCAATTATGAAGTCACCAGCAGTAGAAGTAGCCCAGGTCAACCTGCATCACGCGATGGCCGCCGCGGCGGTCATTGCGAGCAGATTTTCCACGGAGGACCTGGGTATACTACTTATACAGCAACCGCGGACCTACAGGGGCCAGGTGAGGGGCCTCAACCACAATAACAATAAGGTAATTTGGGACATCTCCTGCGAGAGGCCCAGAGCGTGTGTATTGTTGAAGAATAATATTAAATATTTTTGCATTACAGAGTTTCTTACACAGAATTTAGAATTCTGCCGCAGGAACCGACTTCCTGCAATTCTAGGCTGCGATGCAAACGCCCACAACATGGAGTGGGGCAGGTCGGACACCAACCGCAGGGGTAAGTGCTTTTTAGAATATATTATTAGCGAAGACCTGAGCATTCACAATGTTGGTAATGAACCAACGTTCATTACTAGGGTCAAACAGGAAGTTCTTGACATCACTCTCAGCAACAGACTAACCAGTCCTCTGATCTTCAGTGGAGGGTCTCATCTGAGCCCGCACTGTCAGATCACAGGATTATCCGGCTTGCACTGGAAGCTGTTTGTCAGACAGGTTACCCCAAGAGAAACTCCAGGAAAACAGACTGGGCCAAATACGAAGAGGTACTTAGACTGAACCTACTCACGATAAAGGTACAACAATGAAAAGTAAATTGTATGGCGTTAGAAGACAGGGTTAATAGGCTGAACGGCACTATTTTAGATGCCTTTACGTCCATCTGTCCCGTGTCTAGGCCTACGGGGAAGGCTCAGCCTCCCTGGTGGTCACGGGAACTCACGGTTCTTAAGAAAGAGGTGCGAAGACCTTTCAATAGGGCAAAGCGCACCGGGAACTGGGAGGAATACTCAATCAGTCTTACAAAGTACAATAAGGAGATTAGAAAGGCCAAGTGTAGCAGCTTCAGGACCTTTTGTGAGAACATCGCATCCACTCCTGCAGCTGCTAGGCTTCATAAAGCTTTGACAAGGGACAACACAGGCACTAGATTGGCTATTAGGCTACCTAATGGGACTTTTTCAGGTACTGAACAGGAAAGGGCACTCGCCCTGCTGTCGGCCCACTTCCCGGACGCCATTCCCACCGCCCGGGGATGTGATGTTTCGTGCGTTCATGCCATCCCCACCGGACTCCTTCGAGCGGTACAAGACCCCTGGGGTGGATGGCATATGTCCGGTGTTGCTGGAGCAGGGAGGGGAGCTCATACTTCCACATCTTGTGGATATTATGAGGGACAGTCTACCACTGGCCCACATTCCCAAGGTGTGGCAGAGGACCAGGATTATGTTTATCCCGAAGGCAGGTAAAAGAGATTACTCTCTTGCCAAGTCATTCAGGCCGATAAGTGTCGCGTCCTTTATGTTAAGGCAATGGAGAAAATTGTTGATCATGAAATCAGTTTTAATTTAAACTATGTTCCCATTAACGTAATTTAGAGGTCAATCTTAGTTTACGCATAAATTAAGTACAAACTAAGTAATTTCGCCTTGTAAAGTCTCTCAGTAAATTAAGTTGAAAGTACGTAGTTTATCTTAAACCAAGAACCAAATCACGAACAAATCAGTGTCGGCTTTAATTTTATCGATAATAATCGAAAAAAGTATTGTCCCATAACTGATATGTCATTGTGTTTGGACGTTTTTGTTTTTAATAATCGCGCGTGGTAGTTTGTAAAATATTTCCAGAAGCTTTCTCTTTTGATCACTCATCTAAAATCTAAAAAATTACCACAAACAACTCAGAATATAAAAATATACGCAATTACTCACATTCGCGATCTCTTTTGGTTAAATAAACGATAACACAGGGTTGCTACAAAGCTGTCAAGACAAATAAAAAATCGCGTGTATGAACGCACTTAATTTAGTGAGGTATTTTAAACGAAACTAAGGGCCGGTTACTCAATGTCTGGTTAACACTAATCTCCGGTTAAACATAGTTATTGACGTTACCGACTCTCTGTTGTATGCATGGAGTCGAAGACGTCGATAACGATGTTTAACCGCAGATTAGTGTTAACCAGACATTGAAAAACCGGCCCTAAGTATTTTATGTTGGTAATGTGAATATAGTTTTAGATCCACGGACACTGCTCTGTATACCATAACGGAGGAAATACAAGAATTCATAAGAATTGCACTAATGAATTATGTTACATGAAATATATTAACGCAGTAGTGTCATATTACAAGAAATTATTAACACTCCAACTATACCATGAACCAAAAATACAAGATCACGTAAGAACGCGACGTTGTATTTGTAACTGGTTTTGAGAAAAAAGTTTGCGAAAGCGGGTTCGTCAGCTGAGCGTTTGTTTACATCACAAGCACCACTATTTTACACTTTTATTCAAGTAAAGAAGAGTTAATTCAACATGACAACACATTTTAAAGCATTTTGTTGCATCATTTTACCTAAATTGTGCGTTTAAAGTGGCTGACAATAATTTTGGCTAATTTTGGTTTTCGTTGTTTTCTTTGCTTTGTTTACTTTTCGCTCGTTTTCCAGTGAAACAAGATGGCGTAGAACCCGCTAAAAAAATCGACTTTTTTCGCTCTCTTGTTCTTACGTGATCTTGTGTCTTTCGTTCATGCAACTATAAGTTGGTTCATAACCAGGGATGCCGTTTCAGTCTAAATAGATCCAATTGGATACATTTTTAGACGAATTTTACCGATCAGTATAAATGTGGATACTTTTTTAAATAGGCCAAAATTTTATATTTTCTATAGTTTTTTTCGTTGAAAACTCGATTTTCATTAAAGATATTGGAAAGCATTACGTTTTCTAGCATTTAATTTGTTGTGAACGAAGCAATAAACATGAAGAGATCTCACCAAAATAAGTATAAGTGCAATTGTTTTCATTAGCTAAAAAGTATGCTTTAAGCAAGAGCTTAATATATATATAAAGCAAATATATACTCTTTCTGTAGTAATATCTTACATATCACATATTTTCATTTGTTAATTTAAAAAGAAAGCAGATCAGATTAAAATACTTTTTTAAAAAACTAAATTTGATTTATTTAAGAAAATTTGTGGAAATTTTACTGAAATACACTCTAAAAAAAATTTGTTTATTGCGCATATTAAGAGAGGTAACCAGTTTCCTGTTTTAATGTGTGCAAATTTGCACACCGTGTAATAAAACTAAACATTTACCTTGTTTATGTGGCATCAAACGCGGTATCGAATTAACTCGTGTCAGCGTAGCTCGCTTGAAATGCAAGTGTTTATATGCAATACAAGAAATGAGTCGATCGAACACACTTTCAAACAGAGTTTATCCCGATGCAACCCCGTTAATACATGTGTCAATTCTTGACAATAATGAACATTGAAAAATAATAATTAAAGACTCAAACCGCCTTGCAAAAATTATACTAGCTATTAATTTTATAACAAAGCTTAGCTTAAGTGTAATTTCAAGAACTATTTAAATGGTTTACTTTATACAGAGTTGCATGAAACAACCGTGTGGACAAATTCCGTGTTTATATGCACTCTTAAAACGATTCAACAACTCTTAACTCGCATTCAAAATGTAATTTATGGTGGCACGATTCGATTGATGGTGCCAATTCGATTAGATAATGGCCCGTAGTTATAGTCAAAATAAAGTCGACTGTAAAGTTAAAAGCAGCTTTTTGACATAACTTTCAATGAGATATCTGTCAAAAAACCTGCTTTTAACTTTAGAGTCGACTTTATTTTGACTATAACTACGGGCCAATGTGTTTACATGTGTGTGTCCACATAACATGGTTTGACTTAGAACGAATTGAAGCATCATATAAACGTGGTAATTGCCTGTTTTCTTTTACATACCAATTTTGTCGCGAAGAGCAAAATTACATATTAAAAGTTTAAAATAGAGTAAATGTGACCCCTAATATATATTATTAGTAGGAAATGTATTTTTAATTTGAATTTTTTTGCAATTTTAAATATTTTATATGTATATTTATGTATATATTTTAAAGATCTCGAGTTCAAAATCAAATCCTGAACATCTTATACGTATATTTATACAGATTCTTGTTGAAAAATAGATACATTTCAGTAGTAGTTTTACATGCTCTTTTTAGTGTGTACAGGTACAAATGTAACACATGAATTACTATTTATTATACTTGCAAAATACTTATGCTCAAAAAATGTAATTTATAAATTGAAATTACAAATGTTTGATTTCATGAAAGTTAAAAATATATATACATGTATTCCAAGTCCTTAGGATGGGTTAATTATGTCTTTTTCTTGAAAATTTTTGGTTTTATTACAATTTATGAGATGTATACGTAAAAAAGAAAACTGGATACATTTGGATACATTTTTGGCTTGGTCAGTGATACATTTTCTTGAGACGGCGCGGCGACACTGTTCATAACATGTAAAACTGGCTACACACGACAAACATATGCGCGCACATGTGCGCCAACATGCTCGCTGTCGTTTGCCACAGACGGTGAGCGGCTCATATGTGATTTTGTCGTGGCAGCGTAAAGTGATTAGCAAAGACGGGGATGATACAATTGCAATGCCTTTAAGTTAGCTTCTTTTTATGTATTTGTTACTTAAATTTATTTATATTTTACTTGTATGTATGTACATCCATATACTTATAGTAACTTACCCTCATTTATCAAATATTCAATTGACGCACATGGCTTGGATGCATTTATCCGCCGATGTGCACACTTCAAGATTCAACACAAAATGAGGTTGTTGTTTTTGTTTCCAACGCGATGCTCGCAAACCACGCTACAAACGACAAACATGCACCGCAAGCCGAGCATGTGCGCGCATATGTTCGTCGTGTGTAGCCACTGTAAAGAATATCTTAGGCACTTCCGGCCAGGATAGACACCTGAGCAGATTAATAAAATTTAGCGCACCTAAAACTACGGTACTTTATTGGCTTATTACTGGTGTCAGAGGCGGACATTTGAGTATCACCGGAAAATAGGCTGCCTCCCGAGCTCGATTGCAGTAATCTGGCAAAAGACTGGCCAACATGGAAGAGCACATTTTGCATGCACATGCATGCAAATGAAAAACTAAAAGAAAGCGAGGATGTCAAAATTGCGACATTCTTATGGCTGGTGGGACCGAAGGCGGTTGAAATTTACAACACCCTGTTCCCAAATGATGGGTCAACAGAGCAGGTGCTTGGTATGGGCAGATCTGCGGATACTGACGGTGATGGTACTGGCGGTGAGAGTGCACGTTCACTAGCATATGTGCTCAACGCCTTTGACGAGTACTGCATTCAAAAAAAAACGTGGCTATGGAATCGTTTAAATACAACACGATTACCCAAAAATAAAAACAACCGTTTTCTGAGTTCGAAACGGAGTTGCGTACCCAAATTCGCTATTGCGAATTCAACAGTAGCTGTGGTCAATCCTATAATGACCGCATGTTACGGGACCGAATCATTCTGGGTGTATACGACAAAACACTGCAGCTTAAATTGCTCGACGGGAAGGATGAGCCGCTGTCTAAAATAATTCAAAAATGCAATGTGTACAAAACTGCAAATGCCTTTTGGACCAAGGAGTTTCGAGATCCGTCAATGCAATCACCCGTTTTTGCTACAACTGTGGGCAACAATTTTCGCTCGGACATCTAAATGTGTGCAAAGGCAAAGACGTAGTATGCAGAGGCTGTGACAAAAAAGGTCATTTTGTAAAAATGTGTCGAGTTAAAAAAAGCCAGCAGCCATCACAATTCCCGGATAAGAAAACATCAAGCAGCGGACAGAAGACAAACTCCGGATCGTACAACAAACAAAATGGACAGGTGCACTCAGTGGGAGATTATTATAACTGGAACGAAGAAGGTAAACCTAACTGTAAAATAGAATCAATAAGTGGATCATTAGATTATACTCATATTTATAGAATAAATACGAATAATAACGGCCTAGTGAGAAGCAAGTGGACTAAGACAGAGTATATGTGACCTGGTCTACGGAAAGGGGGCTTAGGTGTCAAAAAATCAATTTTCACTTTTTGGTTGATTCGGATGGAAGATGAGATGCTTTTTCACGTGGTGAAAAGCAGAAAATCCTAACTTGCTTAGAAGTGTACTAAAAATGTAGAAACAGAAACAGTAAACGTCACTTCTTCAGTGGTACTTTTTTATATGTTCCACACTAGCAACTTACACGATGAACTATAATAATATTCCGACCAACAACAACACTTACTGGACCAACAACAACACTTACTGGACGTCCGGCGCGGAGAACAATTAACGAGATAATGAGAAACTGACGAAACGAGTTGCTTACTTTTAACAGCTTTTTCACAGAAAACTAGTTTTCGCACGTAAGCTCCCTTTTCGTAGACCAGGTCACATATACAGAATATGCCGATTACGTTTAAAGTAGACTCCGGATCCGATGTGAATTGCATTCCTATCAATTACCTTTCTTAACTTAAAATTAAAGTTAACAATAAATTTGACGACTATCCAATATATGATTACCGTAACAATAAAATTAACAATATTGGTACAGTAATACTGAATTGCGTTGATCCTGATTTGAATACTGAACAAAAGACAGACTTTGTTGTTGTGGATGACACACATGCTCCAATTCTAGGGTTAGAAACTAACGTAATTTTTCAGATAATAAAACGTATCGATATTAATACAATAAATGCTAGAATGACACCTTTACCAAAAGATAGGGATGACTTCATCAAGCAACACATTTAGTGGTTTAGGTAAATTTCCAGGGACTGTTTCAATAGCATTGGAAGATGGGGCTACTCCTTGTTTGCACTATAAAAAGAGAATTAAATTGAGTATGTTAGAGCGGTTCAGCCGTAAGATTGAAGAGATGGTGGGTAATAAAGTTATATCGCCAGTAAATTATCCTACAGACTGGGTGCATAATGTACAGCTGGTAGAAAAGAAAAACGATATTCGAGTTTGTCCGGATCCAAAACCATTAAATAAGTGCATAAAACGTGAACATTTTCTGATTCCAACCTTCGACGACATTACCAGTCAATTAGCTAACAAGTATATATTTACTGTACTCGATCTTAGTAGTGGGTTTTGGCAAATGGAATTGGACGAGCCAAGTTCGAACTTAACGACATTTATGACACCGTTTGGCCACTATAAATTCAATCGCGTGCCCTTTGGTTTAAATTGCGCACCCGAAATGTTTCAAAGAGAAATGGTCAAACATTTCGGCGATATCCCCGGGGTCATAATTTATTTTGATGACATGGCAATTGAGGCAGAGGACTTAGAACAGCATGACGAGACTCCCGCAAAAGTTATTGCACGAGCAGTCGAAAAAGGCATAAAATTAAATCCAGATAAAATTCAATATCGTCAAACGGAAATGAAATTCATGGGATGTATAGTTTCAAAAGGTACCATCAAACCGCATAGTAAATATTGTGAAGCAATTCGCGGACTTAAGAAACCAAAGAATAAAAGCGATGTCATGTGATTTTTAGGTATGCTTAAATTTTTAGCAGCATATATCCCTTGCTTATCAAAACAATCGACAAAGTTACGTGAATTAACACATAACGATGTCCAGTTTCAGTGGACTGATGCTCATGAATATGAGTTTCAGAAACTCATCAGTATTATTACATCTGGGCCTGTGTTAGCTTTATACGACAAGAAAGGGCCTATTGTTATTCAAACGGACGCTTCAAAAGATGATCTAGGTTGTGTGTTACTTCAAGAAGGTCACCCTGTGGCTGAGTAAATCAGAGCAGAAATGGCCTCAAATAGAGGAGTTACTGGCTATAGTATTTTCCTGTATTAAGTTCCATTATTATCTTTACGGTTGTGAATTTTTAGTGCAAAGTGATCACAAACCGCTAGAATCACTTTTGAAGAAAGAGATCGATGAGGTGACGCCCAGGTTACAGGCCATGTTCATGTTCTTGCTTAAGTATCCAAAAATGGTGGTAATTTATACTCCGGGTAAGCAAATGTTGGTGGCTGACTGTCTTTCTAGTGCAGCACTACGCGAGACTGCTGAAATCGACGAACTAAAGGGTGTTATTCACACCCTGACGAGAAAAGTTTGTATGTCAAAATACAATTACGATATATACTGCAAGCATATAGATGCAGATGAAGAGTACACACAGTTGTGTCTATTTGCGCAACAAGGATGGCCCAAATATCAACAGTTGACGGAACTAAGCAAACAATTTCACAAATACAAGTCAGAAATACACTTTGAAAATAACATGCTGTTCAAGAACCATCGACTAATAATTCCCACGGCATTACAACCACAGGTTTGCACGTGGCTGCACAGGCCCCATCTTGGAATATAAAAGACACTGGCAAAAACCAGATCTTTGTATTTTTGGCCGAACATGGGTAAACAGATAACAGAATTAACTACTAGGTGTGTTGTGTGTGAAACTTTCAGACGCAATAATACAATAGAGCCATTGAGGCAAGACGACGCACCTAAGTATCCTTTTCAAATAAAACTGCCAGCTGCGTGACTGATACACTGAAATAAATATTTATGAGAGTGGGTTATCCAACAATAATACGGTGCGACAACAACCCTTTTAATTCGGTAGAAATAGAAAATTTCTTAAATGATGCGAACACTGTCGCAACTGCGAAAAATCTGTTGAAGCGCTGCTATGAGGCGAACGAAAGAGATAACTTTCAATATCATCTCCTGGAATATAACAATTCCCCAATCGCAGACATGCACCTAGCTCCAACACAATTATTTTTTGGTAGATTAGTAAAAGCAAAGCTCCCAACAGCAGAACTACTTTTGTGCCGGAATTCAGGAGACGAATCAAAAGTACAGGAAAGAATTAAAAGAAAAAAGGTGAAACAAAAACATTACTTTGACCGCAATGCAAAAACATTACCGGAATTACCGGTAGGAGATAGGGTAATTTTTAAGAAAAACGGGAAAGAATGGCATTACGGTCAAATTATGGAGAAAATAAATGAAAGATCGTATATAATTAAAGATAACAACAATATATATTAATTATTGTTGTTGTTGTAGGCTAGTCGATCGATTGCGTTCGTGTGCAAGAAAAATTACTTTTTTCTTTACGTTTTGCCCAAAGTTTCGCTAATCACCTTAGCATCTTCAGGGGCGAATCTTTATTTAAATAACAACAAGAAACAGAACAATGTTATCGAAAAATAATGATGTACATACATACATACATACATACATACATGAATACAAAGCTAAATGTTAGATAAACAAATGAAAATACGAACACAAAGAGACTATCACAGGTTTTAATTTTTCTTATGGCACTTACGTATGGTTTACATTTAATTGACACTGAATATTTAGAAAACATTTGAAACATTTAAAACATGGAAAATTTACACTAAAACATTAAACATTAAAAGCATTGATACCATCAATATGTGGTACTCTCGTCATACTAAACTTTAACTACAAGCATAGCATATAAGCAGCCGCGATGTCATCAGTGTCCTCCTTCTTGTTAATTGTTTTTTCCATTTTCTGTAGAATTCGCAGGCTTTCTTTGGTGTATCCTGTCTTTTCTCTCCGTTCTTTGTCTAATATTTTGACGTTGTATAGATCAGCTGTGTGACTACTATTTAGTATGTGTTGCGCTAAAGCTGTGCTTTGCTTGTTTTTCTTGATATCTGCTTCGTGTTCTGACAGACGAACGCCCAATGCTCTCTTGGTCGTTCCAATATACACTTTGTTGCAGTTTTCGTTTTTGCTCCCCTTGCATGTATCTTCGTATTCCACGTTGCTTTGTTGGTGGAGCGGTAAGGCGTTTTCGTTTGGGAAAAGATTGAAGAAAGAGTGCAGTTTGGTCGGTATGCCAGCGTTACATTAAGGTTGTTGGCGTTTATGTCATGGTCAAGTTGTTGGTAGAATCGAGGGATGTATGTGACGCTCTGATATCGCTTCGTATCGTTGGTAGTTTTCGTATTCGGTGCTCTGTTAAATTCGTTGTTTATTTCTGAAATTTTTTTGTTTTATTAGACTTTGTATTAAGTGGTGCGGGTAGTTGTTGCTTGCAAGAATTTTGTTTATTTTCATTATGTTCGTGTCTTTGAATTGTTGGTGACTTATTGTTAGTATTTTGTGAATCCGATTTTTAGTTGTGCTGACTTTGTACTTTAAGGGCCGGTTGTTCAATGTCTGGTTATCACTACTTGCCGGTTAAACATCATTATCGACGTTTTCGACATCACGCATATAACATGTGATCGATAAAGCAGTCGTTGTATTTAACCGGAGCTTCTACCTCCGATTTGTGCTAATCAGACATTGAACAACCGGCCCTAAGGGTTGCGAAGACAAGTAATTTATTAAACGCCCAGAGGAAGTAGGCTTTGAGTACCAGTCAAGTAGAATTTCATTACTTTTCCGGTGGATCATGACATCCAAAAACGCCACTACCGCTCCACCAACAAAGCAACGTGGTATACGAAGTTACATGCAAAGGGAGCAAAAACGAAAACTGCAACAAAGTGTATATTGGAACGACCAAGAGAGCATTGGGCGTTCGTCTGTCAGAACACGAAGCAGATATCAAGAAAAACAAGCAAAGCACAGCTTTAGCGCAACACATACTAAATAGTAGTCACACAGCTGATCTATACAACGTCAAAATATTAGACAAAGAACGGAGAGAAAATACAGGATACACCAAAGAAAGCCTGCGAATTCTACAGAAAATGGAAAAAACAATTAACAAGAAGGAGGACACTGATGACATCGCGGCTGCTTATATGCTATGCTTGTAGTTAAAGTTTAGTATGACGAGAGTACCACATATTGATGGTATCAATGCTTTTAATGTTTAATGTTTTAGTGTAAATTTTCAATGTTTTAAATATTTTAATGTTTTCTAAATATTTAGTGTCAATTAAATGTAAACCATACGTAAGTGCCATAAGAAAAATTAAAACCTGTGATAGTCGCTTTGTGTTCGTATTTTCATTTGTTTATCCAACATTTAAATTTGTATTCATGTATGTATGTATGTACAGTGCCGAACAGAAGTATTGGCACAGTGAATTTTTCGCAATATATGCAAAGTTCTTTATTCTAATTTATTTTCGATCATTTATTATAAATTCATTTTACACCAGAAAACATAATAATAAAATCTCTAAACTTTGTGCAAAACTCAGGAAAATTCATTAAATTTGCATACTAATTTGCATCTTTTTATTCAAATTTTTTAGAAAAATTCTAAGTATGCAGTTTTATAGCCCATTCAAATTTAGTATAACAAAGTGATTTTTGGTAATGTTTTTTCACGCAAGTTCTTCCATACAAAGTAATTCGATAATTACTTTTTGTATGGAGAAAACGAACAACACCTTCCACTATGTTGTGTGTCTACAAATAATTAGTAAGTAAGGTCAGAGAACTTAGATAGATAGGTGCAAATTTTTGGAACGTAAAATTGTTTGGCTGAAAAATAAATCCATGGAATATCACCACAGCGCGATTAACATTTCAAGAAGAGTTAACAGAGAAAAATGTAAATTTCTGTTATGATAATGTTATATTTGTTGCCAGTGTCTGGCTATGTGTTCCTTGGTTGCAGGTGAATGCAGAAACGTATTCATGTATATTTTTTTTATAAAATTAAATAAATTAATATAGTTAAATTATATTAAATGTACTTTTATATTAGTTAGAATTACTGATTTGCATTTCTGCAAAACCATTTGTTAAATATAATTTATTCAGTAGTTAATGTTGCTAAAAACTTAAAAAGCATCTGTTCAAGTTCGCTTCTTGTACGAGTATTATATTATGTAAATAGTAAAAATGCATGTTAGTTACAAAAAATGATAAACTTGGTTTTTTCACATACTCATTTTAAAGATGGACGCATTAACAAAAAAATGTACAAAGCAATACACTTGTTAACTTCAAAGTTGTTTTTAACTTTTACTGCAATACTCGTAGATATTATTTGTGAATAATAGTTCTGGAGTCAAATGCAAATCCATTTCCCAGGCATGCGCATATGGATGCTTGTAGTACATACAGATGCGATCAACTAATTAGCAACGAAATTCAAAATGATATTGTTTGCAAATTATGTTTATTTATTTATTTTTAATAATTTCCTTTAAAACATAATTCAATCTATAACAGAAACCACAATAATAAAAGTTTATAAGCTTGCACAAATTGCAAAATAATAAATCAAACTTCAAAAAATTGTTATAAAAATTTCAAAATTTTTAATTAGAATATTTAGAAAATTTTCGGGTATGCAGTATTGTAGTCCATTCAATTATAGTATATGAAAGTCCAAGCTTTAGTCGTTAAAAATTACCGTTCATTTTTTAGAATTTTTTTGTGGAGGGTTGTTCGCATTTTCTTCCATATAACACATGAACAAAATTTTTTTTTTGTATGGGAAAAAACAGCAGTACCCCAACAAAAGAATCCTAAAAAATCAACGGTAATTTTTAACAACTTGAAACTTGCACTTTCTTATAATATAATTGAATGGACTACAATACTGCATACCCAAAAATATATTAAATATTCAAATAAAAAATTTGGATGACCATTTCTTGAAGGTTGATTCATTTTTTTGCAATTTGTGCAAGCTTTAAAACTTTTATTATTGTGGTTTCTGTTCCAGATTGAATTATATTTTAAATGAAAATCATTAAAAATAAATAAACATAATTTGTTGATGGCAGCTGAATGTATGTATGTATGTACATGTACATATGTAAATATGTACCCCATACGCATACTCCAAAATCATTTATTGATAACGTTCTTGCACCTGCACATAATATTACATATATGTAAGTACATACTAACTTTCTTCTTATTTGGGGCTGACAAACTTTAACTTAAGAGTCGACTTTATTTCGTCTACTAATATGCCCCAATAGTTTTGGAGTCAAATGAAAATGCATTTCCCACGCATACATATATGTATCTATATGTACTACATGCTCCATTAATTGACAACGTTTTTGCATGCATATATAAGTACATCCATACATACGTGCATATTGCTGTCTAAGTACCACGCACATATATACAAATGTACATATGTACAACTCA